CTACATTAGCAAAACACAATTTTCTTTGCCATATAGATTTGCCTAGACTCAGAAGAAAAGACAGGTTAGAGTTATCTAACATATTTACAGGTCAATTCCACCTTAAAACAGGCTCTGATGGGCACATTTCCTTCTATTTTCTTAGTCAAAAAAAAACACCCCAAACAACCCACAGTAAAAGCATAAAAGCAATTTATCTTCCTCCACATTAAGAGAGGCTTTATAGGAATTAGATGACTGTGACACATACAATGTTCCCAAGACCAAACATCTGATCTGCTAAAGCCAGTGAGTGCCAAACACTGCAGTGACAGACAGGGGCTGGAGATGCTGATGGTGATGCTGCAGAAATGTATGCAGGGGCTGGCAATGAAAGTGTTAACCATGACGAAGGAAACCAGGAATGTGGGTAGTTTGACTCAGGATTTCTGGCTGCTGTTAAAACAACAGTTGTTCAGTTGCTGCAGCAACCTATGAAGTCACTAAAAATAAGTTCCAAGAGGTAACTGTATATGGCAAAGGGCAACAGCCCACAGAGAAGCTGGAGGATTACTACTGAAAATGAAAGGCAAAGTTTCATGAAGCCTCTATAACACTGGACAGTGAATCAGTGTTTTACTGTACAGAGTTCATACTAGTATGTCCCCAAGCTTATCGGAAAAGCAAGGAAATGCTAAACTGAGTTTGGCTTAATAAACTGACATGAGAAACACACTGTAATGTACTGAGCACTGGCTTGGAAGCCAGAAAAGTCAGGTTATGTTTCTCAGCTTGATTTTATGCAAGTCATTTTGCTTCTCTAGTCCTTTGCATCCTTTCCTAATACTGATCATTTAAACTGTAACCTCTTCCTGGTGAGATCTACTTTTAAACTGCCAGAAGAACAGTGTGTTAAACTCAACTGTATGAACTCTTCAGTACTCACAGTACTAACAAAAAAACATTCCCCCAAGCAGCACTCCTCTAAAAATTAACCATATCAGCTATTTCCTGGAAATCAGATCCCAAATGACATACACACACATTGTGTTAACACCTAGTTTAAGTGTTACCAGAAGATATTCCAACTGCACCTTTAACTCCACTCATTATTAATGTCCTTTATCTAAAGTTAGCACTGACATGCTCAGCAGCCTGTGCTGGATGACAACAGAAATAACCAGTCCATGAAAGCAGGAGGAGGAGATAAAGTGGTTGGGGTGGGGAGAGGGAACCTATCAAAAACAAAAGGATCCAGTGCAAATGTTATCATGGTCAGCCACAACAGCAATGGCTTTGTTTCAGCAACAGAAACCCAAAATCTCAGATGGGACAGTTAGCCAGCAGGCTGTAAAAATTCATCTCTCTATCCTGGGTGTTTGGGATTTTACAAAACAAAGACCTCTCCAGGAAGTAAAATGGAGGAAACATTTTGAGGAGTCAAGGCCACTCCACATCTTTTTTTTATCACAGGATGGGAGGACAAGTAGCGTGAAGAACAGCAAGTTAACTGCATGTTAAATTCCTTGGGTGAAGAAAACTCAGTGTGTTCTCAAAATAAAATCAATACAGGAATGAGACATAATGCATGGTACAAGTCATGAACAGAACCTCGTGAAACTGCCTGAAATAGCTGAGGAGGCCTCAACACTGGTGATGATTTGATGAGGGGAAGGCATGGAAAGGGTCAGAAGTGTTGATGGAGAAATCCAACTGGAGGATTGGAAAGTATCCCCAGCAAGTGTATTCAGAGATCCTGACAATGGCCATGAAAAAAAAAAGAAAAGAAGAAGAAAAATGGCATAAACCCCCCAACTTGTATAGCCTCTGGTGCTTCAGAATGCAGGATGATAACCTAGAACAGAACACCTGGATGACACTAGGATTTCAAAGTAAAATCTTTTACCCTTCAACAACAACATATTTTAGACAGGACAGAAAATCTTCTTAACCTGTTGGAAGAGGCTCAGGACAGTCTCTGCTATGTGAAGAGAAGAAGCTTCTGCTAGCTAAGGAGAAAGGTCTGATAGTAATTCTGATCCTAGGCAGATTTTCTATCTCCTTTTAAAACCAAGAGTCTTACACAGTGTCTAACTCACCACTTCTCTCTGCAAATGAAACTTAAGCACATTCTAAGTAGCTGTGGTTTCACAAGGTTCCAAGAACACAGAACAAAAGTGAGACACTTGATAAATATTTACTTCAACACTGGTGAAAAGGCATTAGGAATGAATATTCCCATGAGGCATAACTTTATAAAGTCACATAAGACATATATTCCTTTTCCTGAGTGTGTCTCAGCTCCCAGAGCAGGAAGGGTGAGCAGAGTCAGAGAGGAAGTACACTTGGACCTTAGGGAAGGGTGTTCCGTGCAGCAATGATCCTTCTTCCCACTCCAGAGGCAATGGTGACTAATGGAAAGAACTTGACTTTATAACAGAATTGTAAGAGTCGTAAAACAAAGAGAAAACAGAGTGGGAGGTACAAAGAAAGCTCCAAGAAGTAGACTAGCTACCACACCCTTAACCAGGAGGAGAGGAAATGTCAGCTCCTTCATGGAAACTTCTCCATGGAAAGTGTAGGATGTTGAATTAAATGTGAGGAGGTGCCTTTCCTTTCCACTGCACATAAGCAGGAGGATATGCCAGCAGCCTCTGTGAAAACAGACTGGAGCTGGGGTCACATGCCCTGGTTATCACAGGTGACAGAGGAACAGGATTTGAAAAAGCACAGAGATGAGCAGCCCAGAATTCTCCTACTAGACACCTTACTGACAGGATCCACACTGATCCCCTCCCACAGCAGAGCTGAGGAAGGCATACAGTAAGGAAGGTATTATTTACTTGAATGAAAGGAGAATAAGAAGAAAAGAATAGTAAAACTACATAAACCTAAAACCACAAACCAATCACTTTTCAGCTTCTGATATTTTAAAAGAATTTTGTTTGCAGGCATTAGCTGTTGCTGGTCTAAACTCTGTTTTCATCTGTAGGTCTTTCTCAGTAGGCAGATGCTCATTTTCCCACTGATGTCTGCCTTGACAACACATCAGCAAAGCAAGTTGCATTCACTGCCACCAGAAGAAACCCTACAGGTTAAGGAGCTTAACTGAACCACAAACATATGCTGCAGGTGACACTGGATTGTTCTCCTTTCATTAACCAGGGCAGGGAATCCTTAGACAAACCAATAATGCTCAGATAATCAGTGATATGACTCTGGAGAAGGTCCAGAATTTCATGGGCTTACAAGGATTTCAAACAACTGAATATCTGGGCATTATCATTCCTAGTTCTGGATGAATACTAATCATTGAAACAACTCTGATAATTCTGTTATTGTGACAGTGCTAATCCCATTTTGCAGATGAATAAACCAAGGGAGAAAGTTTAAGCAACAACAGTAAAACCTGACAACAGAGCTAGCATTAAATTTAGAAGAATCATATGTTTTAGCAAAGTTAACAGAATTAACACATACAGCTAAGGATCAGAACTGGCTGCCATTCCCACAGTTTTTCTTCTGCTAGTAATGCTCCAGACACTACTGTCTGTCCAAGGATCACAGGGATCACACTCCACCAACAGACAGCCAGGTACTGTTGCTCACCAAGTGACTGCAAATTACTTGTCCCACATAGAGCTTGTGGTTCCACCTCACCCAGGAGCCAGCCTTGGTCTGTGCCTCACAGGCAACACTCAGCCACCCTGAACAGACTGTTTTTGCCCTTTGATGGATGACAGACATTCTCTGCTCACTAGTTTTTATCAACCTACTCAGAAGTTACTCTTTCAAGTTTCTCATATTTTCAGGTATACATCTACAGCTAATTTCATACGTAGCAGTGAATTACTTTTGTCTACACACCTCACCCATAATTCAGCTGGTGCCACCTTTATCCAGACTTAGACTGATTCACAGCAAGATTCCACACTTAGAACACAGCATGAACACAGCTATATATTATATAAACCTTGTGCTACCCCTGTCTATTTACACAGGTTGAACATGAATAATACACCCAATGTAGACAAGCTAATGACTGAGGAACACTCCTTAAAAATACATGAAAAATAGGCTGACATGAAAATTTTGCAAATTATTACCTTGCTCAATAAGAATTGCACATCTCTGGATTTGAAGATTAATATCTCAATTACACTTATTGAAAATATTGTGCTGGTTGTAGAAGAAACACAGTCTTTACAATAAGGTAGTATAAGTGCCATGAGGAGAGGCTGAGGGAGCTGGGGGTGTTCAGCCTGGAGAAGAGGAGGCTCAGGGGAGACCTTATCACCCTCTGCAACTCCCTGACAGGAGGTTGGAGTCAGATGGGGGTTGGTCTCTTCTCCCAGGCAACAGGGAGAGGACAGCAGGAGGACAAGAGGACACAGACTCAAGCTCTGCCAGGGGAGGGTTAGGTTGGATATTAGCAAGAGATTTTTTTACAGAGAGAGTGATCAGACATTGGAAAGTGCTGCCCAGGGAGGTGGTGGATTCACCATCCCTGGAGGTTTTCAAGCTGAGACTGGATGTGGCACTTAATGCCATGGTCTAGTAACCAGGGTAAGGTTGGACTTGATGATCTTGTAGGTCTTTTTCAACCTGGTTGATTCTATGATCTCTCTCCAATGCATTTGGTTTGGTTAGTTTGGGGTTTTTTTTCCTTCCAAATCAGCTTTATGCCATGTGCCAGCTGATTCATGACTCCCCAGACAGAAGAATTGCTCTGGCTTTTCAACCCCATAGCTAAGTCATTTGAGACATGTACAGTACAGAAGATTTATTAGCACAGATGTTGTTTCCTGGTATCTCACACTTGATCTAAACATGTTTCCATAACAAATCAAAGATGGAGAAAGCCAGGATTTAATCCAGCAGACTTTTCTCTTCCCACTGTCCTACAACTGAAACAAGAATGGTATTGATGCTGCAGGGGGACACTAATCAATATGTCTAAACAATGAAATGTGCCATGTAAGTTGACAGACCAGGTCTAGGAAGGTTTCTCACATATCTCTGTATTTGTACAAAGTTCATAGGATTTCAATGGATTATATTTGCTTTAGACTTGTGAGGTTCTAAATGTAGGTGTCTATATTTTAAATGCTGGGAAGAGGACAAATGGGCCTCCTGTATGTGTAAAAAGGGATTTACATTTTCCTCTGATCAGAAAATAGAATATGACCACGATTCTTACCTGTAGGTTTCAATTTCAAGGATGAGACCTGCTTTCACCTGCAGTAGTTCTTGATAGTCCTTCAAGTAATCTGTGATGGAGTTGGTCAGGAACTGCTTTTCTTCTTCTAGGGCATCAATTATTCTCTAAACAGAAATATTGATTTTTAGTTTTGAATTCACATAAAAATTTGCACACTAGAATGTCTAATAACTTAAAACTTTCAATAAAAAATAATCTGAGAGCACAATAAATCAATGTTTCATCTCTTCAAAAACCAGGACAAATCATCTTTACAACCTTTCCACATACAGTACATCGCTACTGAAGCAGAGTTCATTTTATGCCTTACTAAACTAGTTAAATATTTCAGTAAAACCCATTCAAAGTTATCAAGGATCCATTGCAAGGAGCATACACTCCCTTATAAGTGTGACTCATTCTGTCATTTTAAGGGCATACATGTACATGCTCAAATCATAGATCAGGAATTTCAGCAACTGTTTTGCCCTAAGAATCTGGACTGTTTCTCCTTATCAGTATTTGCAATTCCATAGATATGTGGGTCCAAACCCATTTTAGAATTTCAGCATCTGGAGACATTTATAGTGCCTAGAAGATGAAGGATGAATCTTCAGTGGTTCCTTCAAGTTTTCTACAGTATTTGGACATGTGCTTTGAGGTCCAACCAGATCTGTCCTAACTGGTGCTCAGAAGATAGACAAGGGATGGTTCATTTTCATCTTGATAATTACATATGACCTTGTACAATACAACTAAATAGAACTAAAAACAGAAGGTTGTATATGTTTATACTCAATTGCATAAGAAAGAAAACACTGTAGAAAGCAAGAGCTTTAATCACTGGTGTTACATGTTCCTTGGTGTTACAGCCTCAGATGAAGGGCAAATTGCCATTTATATATATTTGTACTAAATATAACCTTGCTAACTGGAATGCTATAGATGGCACTTTGTTCTAGTGGCTGGGAAGACAGAAATTAAATCCCAGGAAAGGGCTGATTCTATTTTGTTCACATCCTCTGCACCATACAGGGACACTGAAGTGTCATTTACAGAGCAAAATCTCATGTACGACACTGAACAGGAATTCACAAGTGCATTTTACTTTGCATCCTAACAAATGCTTTGCAATACAAACTGGAAAACCAGTACACTGGTAATCTAGTTCTAAAAAATTCCAAATACATCATTTATATGCAGCAAGTGTTCGAGTATCACAGTATGAGCAACAGCATGAAAATGAAGATACAGCAGGGGACTCCCCAGGTCAGTCAATGCCTGGATGATGTGCTAGGCAGAAGTCAGGTTTAAGAACTAAGAATATAAAGTGTTGGCATTTCAAACATTAATAGCCTTTTCCAGTTCAGTAGAAGTAGAAAGAAAGGTTTTCTGAAGCTGCATCTTCATATACCTATGGGTATAACCACATAATTGAATCTATTTCTTCATTTGCCTTTGCAGCTGTTGTTAAATGATTGCACTGATCTTTTCCTTGGCCTGAAACCTTGCCTACAGTCTTCAGTGTACCTAAAGCTCCCTTTTAATGGCAGAAAACAAATCATATCTGCACATCTGAACAAGCACCAACAACCACCCAAGAGCCTCATGCAGGCTGCAGTGGAGGTACCATCCTGTATGGCCACACACAGCACCACTGACCTTTAGCAGCTCTCAGGCAACAGTCCTGGTCAAGAACTGACACAATGGAAAATCCCAAGAGGAGAAGGGAAGAAAAGTACCAGGCCCTGCTTTTAAAAGGAGAAGGCTATCAAGCAAGAATGGACAGAGTGCTGAGAGAACCAGGAGTCAGCAAAAGGAGAGGAGCACAGACCGGAGCTCTAAGGGACCAACCCTTAAGAGCTCTGATACAAAACATGAAGTGGCTCAGCTGTTTCTTGTCCCCTCCCCCAGTTAAACACAGAGACTAACCTATACATTTCCATGCATCAAAAAGAGCTTCACAATGCTGCAGCCCCATACAAATCCATACAGGGAATTGTACACTGCACTGCAGAGTATGGGGACCTCTGACAGACTGGGGATATTCACTCATCTGAAAACACAGGAACTTCAGTCCCTCATCCCCACCCTCTGCAGTCTGGGTTTGAAAAGCCACCTAGATTCTACCCACAGGATTTGAAGAGCACTTGGGATCCAAATGTTTGAGTTAATGATTACCATAAGGGGCTACATAACTCAGCCAGCTGTGTAATAGCTCCAAAGGAGTTCATTCCAACAGGAGCAGACACTATAGACTGGATGGCAGACAGCCAGTCACCTAGCCCTGCAGTCACTGATGCTCAAACATAAAGCAGAGGACAACTGGTCTCAAGTTCTGTTTCCAAGCATGCCAAAAAGTGCATAAACCACTTTGGCAAAGTTCAGGGGATCGCAGGCCAACACACTCATTTTGCAAAAGGTAACCTATATTGTGGCAGCAGTGTCTGCTTCACACAAGACTTGCTTCTCAACCACACCAATTCCCCCCAGATCTCAGTGATGTCCTGCTAGAACCAAGTAACTGAAGAGAAGTGGTTTTCTCACCCTTCAGATGTTCCTTTCCCAGCAGCAGTGGGAAATTTTAGAAGGGCAGAAGGGAGAAGAGAATTTACTTGGGTTGCCCAAGCTGCACCTACCAAGGGAATCAAGAGAGGATTCCAGGCTTCAGCCCTTTCCATCTGCTACTATTTACTGATCTCATGGCTCATTCAGTGGCTCATCAGGGGAGGAACTGACACTGTATCTAGCCGGCTAGAAACTGGCACACAGAAAAAATGCACGACATACTGATATTAAATGTACATTTGACAGGATGTTTTAGTCTTCTCTGGAGCTCACTCACATCCTAAATCCATCGTATCATTGAAAAGTATCTGCCTTGTTTCAAAGCAGCAGGATGAGCCAGGTTTGATACCCCAAAAATACAACATTTTCAAATCACCAAGAGTTTTTGAGTACATATTTTCACAGCATGCAGCTAAAATAATGGAGGTAAGAGACCAACTGACTACATCCCTTTAGCACTCTGGACCAGAGAAAATTTTCCAAGCAGTGTATGATTTACTGCTTGCCTAGTTCAGCTAAATTATAACTCCAAATTTCTATTTAACACTGCTGAAAGCTTCAGTGAGGAAAAGGGCAGTGCAGGAGGCAAAGATGGACATATAAGGCAACTGAATGATATATGGAAAATATGAATAAATCTAATTGCCATTTCAGCTGCAACAAACAATAATCACTTGACCTTAATCTGGACATACATATCATTTCTATGTGACACTCCATGATAAATAAGCATGGAAGGGATGCTCTTTAAAGAGTAGTTTAAAATCCATGCTGGACATACTGTAACCAGTAAAAGGAATAATGAGGGAGGAAATAAAAAGCTTTGATCACAAAAATGAAACCTGAAACAGCTGTCTGTACGCATTCTATAACTTTTCCTTCTAGATGTAAGCAAAAGAGATTTTATTTCTCATGTGTAGTGGACTGGCCATGGGAAAAGGCCCTTCCCATTAGAAACCAAGCAGTTTGAATATAAAACCATTCAGAATTATAATTATGGCATCTTACAATATATGTCTAGATAATACTTAAATTCCGGCAACAATTCAAACAGCTCATATGTTTTCAGGCTGACTCTCAAAGCACTTTTTGCTTCTTCTTGTAATACTAAGAATCTATTGTTCTTGTAAAATCCAAAGATGCCAAATGCTTGTGAGAATAAAAGAGAAGTTTGTTGTGTTGGTATCAAAACATCAATCCATTTTGGAGTATTGAGTCAAGATAAGTCAAAGACATCCATGGACTTTGATTATCTGACTTGTACAACAGGTTGCTCTGTCTCCACTTGCTCTGCTGAATAAAAGTCTTTAAAAATACAACCAGATACAGAGAAAACACACTAGTATAAAAACAAGCTGCTGAGCTGAAAGAGTTAGGTAAAAGCTTTGGAAGAAACACTTGTAGCATGGATAGTGAACTATGCAAAATGCTCCCTTAGCTCTGTATGTAAAAGTTTTCAGTTTGAGCAATGATGACTGAAGATCAATGACACTTTCATTACAAAACCCTAATGCAAATACAGACAGCAAGAAGGGCATGTTTTGGAAATCAAAGTAACTTTGAAAGCTGTATTAGTTATATATTTAAATATTAGTACTTATTTATATTTATATGAACTTACACAGCTCAAAAGGCAGGGAAAAATTAAGAGGTTTTTTCTTTACTTTTTCACCTGGTTTTCATTGCTGGATAGATTTAATTAATGAGAGATTTACATATGACATCTTCTCCTAAAGCTTTGGAAATGTTTACACACATGATTGGAGGAATGAATTGTCCTGTCAAAAATGAAAAAAGAAATATTTACAAGTGAAGAGCCTTTCTGATTACTTCTTACATACCTAATCTGCCTCAGTTCACAGCATCTGCAAAGTATGCAACTTGCAAACAATCTAGCAGTGTACAAAAACCAGACACACACCCAGCAACAGGTCCCAGTCCCTTCCCAGTTGCCAGCAGCTCCATAATCTATCAGAGCTGCAGGACACAAAGCAACCATCAGCACACGGGGTTCAGGCAAACACCACGCTCCAGCAGGGTGTTAATAAAGGGTCTAACGATGAACAAAAGAAATGAAGCCCTCAGGAAAGGGATCGATGGGCTGCATGATCTAATATGTGCTCTGCACTCTGAATTTGATGAGGGGATATTTCGCTGTTCCGGCAGCTGCTGATCTCTTCCCACGCACAGGGCGATTACACATCGTTATTCCAAACGTCATCCTGACAGCAAACAAATTCTCTGCTGCAGATGCTATAACCCTCTGTTTGACAACACCAACATCCACCTCAAACACAGGTGTCACCTCCTGCGTTCAAGTTTCATTTCAAAGCACCCCACACTGCTCACTGCCTGCAGCACAGTCATGAGTCTTCCTGCCTTTAAACAACTAAAAGTCTCGTTAACTCCACTAAGGACCACAAGCTTTTCCCTAGGCTCAAGGTACAGAGAAATGTGTGTAAAACAGGAAGAAAATTCAGGTAATTTCTCTGACAGAGACAGGCCACCTGCAAGCCTCAGGCTGGACGGGATGCTCCGTGTCCCATCGCACAGGGAC